AATAGTATAATCAAAATTCTTAATTTTCCTCTGGTCCCATCATGTTTCACTTTCCTTTCCCTGGCCTAGATTGCCTTCCTTAGCCTTATCCCAGCAATTGTTCTCTTTTTGTGTAATTATTATGCGCATGATGCATATTTGAGCTACTTAATGCTGGTAATTATACAAAGAACAATCTTTATAATTAGCTATTGCACTTTGACTCTAATTGTGTGGAGGTGAATTTAGGTGACAAGGCCCTGATTTCAATGGGGAATATCTTTAGGAGAGAAATAAATACCAGGTTCTCATTTAGAATCGGTTTCTTTCATTGCCCTTAATTCTTGCGTGTTCATATTTAAGTCATTTTCAAGCAAATTTGATGCAGAAAAAGCAATCGCACTTGCATTTTTATCCCTTTACTCATAGGGTGGTTTTCTTTAGTCTATGATTAGAAAAGAAACCCCTGGTACTGGTGCTGCACATGAACTACTGTGTTCACAGAAGAAATGGCACAAATTCTTATGGAAAGTGAGCCTATGAGTTTAAACTCATTGCACTTAGTGCAACGTGCTTATTTTCTTCCTGGAACTTGTTGAAGACTTGGGGTGAATTTTCCACATGTAAGGACAAAGGTGAGCTTATAAAGTGAAAATAGCTCTGGTACATTTTCTTTGAGGCATTTAGCATGTAGTCAGGAAGGCTAGTTGTTCCTCTTTGCATGTGGATTTTGGTCCAAGGTCAAAGTGGACACTTTCTTAAATGTCTAGTGGAGGAGGGGGCCTTGCAGTCTCACATTTTGTCTACTATCCTTAGGGTTGTATTTAAAGGAAAAGAATAAACAAAATGGGCCCTCCCTGGTGGTACAGCGGATTAAAGCACAGCACTAAGAAGCTAAGGCCACTTCCACATGAGTTCGATTCCCGCTTGTCCAGGAAGTGACCACATGGTGTGGCAGACCTCTCCAGACCCGCCTGCTGCTCCCCTCAGCAGTGTACTTCATGGATCTGCCTGTTCTGCTCCTCACTCTGTCTCTGGTGAAGCCTCTTGCCACCCCTGAGCCTCTGGCCTGTACCCCAGTTCTCTATGCACAAATAAATAAATCTTTTTTTAAAAAAAAGAATAAACAAATGTTTGGCTGTTCGGTGGTCATATTCTATAGCAGAGAAAGGCCCGTAGAGGACACTACCCCTACTCAAAAGGACTTGATGATCCACATTTTCCTTTGCTCTGGTTTGAGCACCCTGTGCTGTGTTTGTTTTTTTTTGTTTTTGTTTTTGTTTTTTTTGCTGAATTTAGATTTTATTTGATTTCTCTGATAACTTTTACTTAACTCACAGCCCATCATTTCACATATTTTAATCATATGTTTACCTCCAATACAAATTTTAAAGAATTTCCAAGATAAAAGAACACATTTCATTGGCTGAATTTTAATCTCTGTGGGAGAGAGGAGAATAATAAAAATAAACATGCATAGCCATTACTGTGAATCAGGCTAACTGTTTAGATACAGCAATTCACTTAATCCTCATAACAACCATATTTTTTTAACAGTTTATTTTTACATCATTTTGTACATTTTTTTTTTCATCTCAATTCTAATCCCCACGGGTTTCCCATCACCAAGTCACCCGTGTGCCATTACCATAGTCCCGTGCACTTCCCTCCACACCCCCAATCCCCCAATTTTTGATCCCATTCCCCACTCCACAAAGGATTGGGGTGTGGGGGGGAATAATAATCATGAACAGCTATATACCAGAGACATTTTATGGGGGTGGAGTGGGGAGTGGGATCAAAAATGGGGGTGAGGAAGTGCACTGGACTATAGTGATGGCACATTGGTGAACTGGTGGTGGGAAGTCCATGGGGATTATAGCTGAGATGGGAAAAGGCACAAAATGATGTAAAAATAAACTGTTATATTAAAAAAAAATACTGTGTTTAACCTGTGGGCTTCAAATTCCTGGTGTGGTGAAGGGGAGCAGTGTCCACGGCATGTTGTGCGACCGCAGATATGGTAGCACAGGGGCAGCACTGAAGACGCCCAGGGTGCAGAGGATGACACAGGTGCTAGCTGTGAGCTGTCGCCAGCGCTGCTGCGATCACTTCTATGCAGAGATGTGCATGTGCCTGTGCGTGTTGTTCTGTGGTGATCTCACGTAGAGGTGCTGTGATAAACGTTGTTAAAGAAGGAAAGTGTGGTTTACCTGTGACTAACCACCCTGCCGCCCAGGTATGTTCTGTGCCTGTCTTGAGAAGTGCTCGCTTAGAGATCAGTCACCTATATCAGAGGAAGGAAAGAGGCTTTGCTTTTCCCCTGCAGTGAGCTCTGTGGTAACAGTGGCAGAAGAGCGTTGTAGATGTATTTGATTTTCCTCTATTAAGCCCTGAAGGGTGGAAATTGTCGTAACTGCTGTTACTCAACTCTGTTCATTTCTCGTTAATGCATATGTGACCCTTGCCTGGCTGTATAAGTCACAGTAGCAAACTGGAAGTTTTGTTTTCTTTTTCAAAAGTTTATTTTTACATCATTTTGTACATTTTTTTTTATCCATCTCAATTGTAATCCCTGCGGGTTTCCCATCACCAAGTCACCCGTGTGCCATCACCATAATCCCGTGCACTTTCCCCTCCTCCCCCCATTTTTGATCCCATTCCCTACTCCACCCCCGCAAAATGTCTCTGGTATATGATGGTTCATTATTTTTATTTTCTCGCCTGGTCCATTATACTCCTGCTGTGAGTGAAACCATCCGGTATTTTTCTTTTTCTTTCTGGCTTATCTCACTAAGCATGATCTTTTCCAGCTCCATCCAAGTTGCTGCAAAAGACATGTGCTTCTCTTTTTTGGTTGCTGAGTAATATTCCATTGTATATATGTACCACATCTTTCTAATCCAGTCATCTACTTTTGGGCATTTGGGCTGCTTCCATGTTTTTCCAATTGTAAATAAAGCAGCAATAAACATGGGGGTACAGGTATCTTTTTCAATCAGTGTTTTTGTGTCTTTTGGATAGATACTTAGGAGTGGGAGCAAACTGGAAGTTTTAACTGAGACATAGTGACTGTTTCTTCTGTGTAACACAGTGTGGATAGCTAAATGCTTCTCTGATGTTCAGCAGCAGCTGGAAATGCCTTAGCTCGTCGGCAGTGGGGGGCAAACTGAAGTTGAAGGCACTTGCCATCCAGTGCACCTTACTTCCTCTTCCCTCATCTTTTACTTTTGGGCTTTTCCCCTCTTGCTTGTCAATGCAGCGCCTCATGTACTTGTTAATTTTCTTTCCGAGTCTCTAAGTATAAGGCATCTTCTTGCACTCCTGAGTAGCTGTGCAGCTCCTCTGAACCCGTTCTCTGTGCAACATGGTTGTGAGGGCTCTTCTTGTCTGCACTGCTGGAGAGAGGATCTGCTTCTGGGGGCTGCCTTGTCATAGGTTAGAATCATATGTCCCAGAGAACATTGAGGGAGACAGCAATGTGGCCACCTGCCAGAAGAGCATTCTGGGTAGAGATAAGAATGGGGCAGAAGTCTGGGGTAGGGTGAGCAAAGTGGAGTGCTGGCATGGGATGAGCGAGGGTAGAGGAGTGGAGGCCACAAAATGGACAGACCATGCATGTTGTGAAATTGTACTTGACCCCCTGAACATAAAGCATCTTACAGCATGTCTCTCATCCAAATAATTTCAAATCCTTACATATACAAGCGAGCATGAGCCTTCACAGTGCACCTCTAAACTTGAGACTGGACACGATCACTGTCATTTCTACTCTTAGTGCTTGATCATGGTCTAGGAGACATTGCTTTCCATTTTAAGCCATTTTTAAAACTGGAAAATCTGACCTTGCAGAGTAAGGGAGTGGGAAGAGAAGGAACGAACCTTTCAATCTCGTGGCTTTATGTACGTAAAGGGAAGGGCAAGATGTTAAGGAAACACTGTGCTGACTTCACACTTAGGAGGTGTTTTTAAAACATGCTGGAAACGCAGAGGTAGAATCAGCAGACACTCACAGCCCCTAAACAGAACAAGTGCTCCTTGACGTGCTGGGAATGTGGGGTGGCGGGTCCTGTGTTCATCAGAGCTGGCTGGCTGTCAGGGCATGTGCTCCCGTGTGATGTCTCTCGGTCAAACACACACTATTGTTACAGACCCACAGATGACAGTAACCAGCCACCGGGCCGGGGTGTCCTCTCCATGCATGGGCTGACCTACGGGGTCATCCGGGTGGACTCAGAAGAGAAGCTGTCTGTGCTCACCGTGCAGGACGTTGGCCTTGTGATGCCTGGAGGTGAGTATGGAAACCTGCCTGTGGCCGAGCTTCTAATCCATGAGCAGATCCTGTCCTAACCAGCATGGCCATCTTTCTGTCCTAGCATTACATGCTTCTCTGGGGTGAGTTTGCAGAATAATGCTTCAATTCCAGTTTCTGGTGTAGGTACCACTGCCTCTCCTAAAAAATCCAAAATATTCGAGCAGCTGAGGAAGGGCATCTATGGCCTTCAGCATGCCAGACCTGGGTCCTGTTCCCTAGAGACACAGCAGGAACTCTACAGCAGCCTTCTCTTCTGAAGGTCAGGACCCTGGACACCTACATGCAGCTCTCCCAGAGGCACTGAGTCTTGAGGCAGTTATGCCAAAATCCCAGTATGAGGTTTGGGCTTTGGTAAACACTGCTTTCAGCCATTGAGCCGTTTTCGAGTCAGAAATGTTCCAAGAGGCCCCACGGAAGTGCCAGCTGCAGCATCTACCTGCTTCTCCTGTCCCCTATTTGTGCTTGACTCCCTGTGCAACCTCTCCTCAGGGAGGGCAGCCCCTAGCACACAACCTGTGTCAGGATGCAGGCTCCTGATCTCCCCCATCAGGGAGCCAGGATCTCTTCTCCAGAACGTCCTCCATGAGCCCACAGGCATAGGCATGTCTCCTTGCTGTATGGAGGGGATGTCATATCCACACAGTGCATCCCTGCAGAGCTGCAGGGGCATAGTCCTAGAGCAGGGCACAGCTCCTACCATCAACACGTGCCTGCAGTACCAGGGCATCTGTTCCTGGAAACCAACTGGCCTCTCAGATCCTCTTGAACCCTCTCTTGAGGGATCTAAGCTGGTCTACTTTCCCAGAGGCCTTCTCTTCAGACCATGCATCATACAGGGTTTGAATACATAATGCCTTGTGCAAGCTGACTCTCCTGGGTGATTTTGCTGCCATGGCATGATGCAGTAAACAGTTTATCTGTGCTTCAGTTTGCATAGGTATGAGGATGATCTAATGAAGAAAGGTCTAAGAATTCCAGAAATAGGACTTCTGTTTCAAGAGTACGTGCCCACATCATTTTGATAACACTCAGACCTTCCAGAGTTGATTCTTGCCACTAGTGGGGAACCTTTACTCCCTCACACATCGATTGTGGAAAGAAGCTCTGTGTAGTTTTGGTTTCTACTTTTCTCACATGAGTGAGTTGAGTACCTTGCTGGGTTCTATTGGCAGCATATCTTAAACCCAGTCTTCCCATCATCTTCCCAGTAGCCCAGCATGGTGGGGACTCTCAGCCCTTCCTGATCAGCTTGCCATCACCAGGCACACGCGCGCGCTAACAATCCAGCTGCCCCCAGGCTCGTGGTCAGCAGCTTCACGCAGGGTGTGGGTAAGACAGCCTCAGAGTGCTCCTGTGGCAGAAGTGAAATCCCTCTTCATGATCTGCATGCTGAGACTTTATCATGCAACACAGCGGTATCCTCTGACAGACCCACCTTGACAGAGAATTGGAGCTTGAAGGTTAAATCCATGGGACATTGGAGGCTGGACTGCTGCTTTAGTTTAGAAAAACTTGAAAGCCTGGACAGTAAGCTGGTACCTGCAGGGCGCAAGGTTGGGATCGCATCCTGGAGGCTGTGTGTTGCTGGGGAGTTCACTTGAGCATCATCCTTGCGCCTACATGCCAAGAGAGTTACTTGCTTTAAGTGCAGTTTCCACATCAACATTAAAGCAACTGGAATTATTGCAGTCACAGCTAGGGAATTTGACATTTTACTGCAACATGAAAAATCCTGACGTCTTGCCTTAGGGAAGTGAGTACGTGGCTCACTTATGCCTGTGGTTTTGTTCCAAAGTTTCCATCCATTTGTGTTCTCTTTTGTCTTCATTTCCCACTGGCTCATTGCCTCTCTCTCTAATATTACCTGGCTTCCTGTTTTGCTTTCAGCTATCATGTGTTCAGTGAAGCCGGATGGGATTCCCCAAGTGTGTAGAACAGACGAAATTGGGGAGCTCTGTGTGTGCGCGATTGCCACGGGCATGTCTTACTATGGCCTCTCAGGCATGACCAAGAACACCTTCGAGGTAGGTCCCTGGAGGTGCACGCCGTCCGTTTTTCCTTCTCAAGCAGCCATGACAGGTTCTGGGAAATAGACCTGAAAGTGAGAGGGGGATTTCTCAACAGAACCTACTCAAAGTAAGTTAAATGGATACAATTCTAATGTCACTTCATAATTTTCAATAGATACAGGTTATTCTTTCTTAGAGCATTGTTCTTCATAAGCAGTGTCAAAAAGGACAGGACATTTTCTTTTAAAAAGGACCATTTTTATAGATTGCTGTTCTCACCTTTGCCTCAGGCAGACTTGGTAGACCATGAACAAATATGAGCTGTCTCCACGGCACAGACAGGCACGTGTGGTGTATATGTGTTTGTGTATATGGCAGCGGTGTGGTCTGCACCTGTGTGTGGTGTGTGACTACATACACATGTGTGCTGTGCGAGTCGTGTTGTGAGGTGTATCTTGTGTGTGTAGCCACAAGGTGTGGTGTGGCCTGGCATGCAGACACAAATAGGGGCTGCAGATGTGGCCTTCTGAGTAAGAAGTTAAGGAGGAAACTTAACTGTTGACTCTCAAGGGTTCAATGGTGACAGAATTTGCGTTATTTTACAAGTGCTGCAGATCCTCAGAGGAACACACTTTGCGATGACGTCATACAGAAAAGTCAGGGGTGGTCTGAGGGTAAATGCCTCACATTGGGAACCTGGACAGGGACGTGTGCGGTGTGGCGCCTACGCGGACAGCTTCTCAAATGTCCCTGAAATTAGATCCAGTATAAACTCAGCCACTTCCCTTTATGTGTGGCTTATCTGCAAGGCCAGAGGAAACAGGTGTAAAGTTTGAGCTCATGTGATTGGCTTCCTTTCAGTTTTTCTTTTTAGTGTTGTTCCATTAAGGGAAAAAGTATTTTGGCAAGCATAGATCATTTTACAACCAAAATGTTATTTAAAATACAGTTTGATTCTCTGTCACTTCTGTGCTGTGATTTTATAGCAAAAGATTTAGTTAGCATTCATTAGTCTATTGTAATGATCTCTAGGCATGCCCTCTTCAGAAGTTCAGAAGTTCATGGAAGGATGCCCATGAGAGGCCAGCTTGTGGAGTATAGGGACCATGTTCTGGGGGCAGGTGCTTCCAGACTATGGGTTGTCTGCTAATGCAGCAGCCTGGGTCCCCAGAAGGGTGGTCAGGACACAGCGAGAGATGCAGGACAGAGAGAGGTCTGGCTGCTGGGAGGCAGCGGGGCTCTCACTACTCCTGTGTCCCCAGGTGTTCCCTGTGACCAGCTCTGGAGCCCCGGTCAGCGAGTACCCCTTCGTGAGGACAGGCCTGCTGGGCTTCGTTGGCCCCGGGGGCCTCGTCTTTGTGGTGGGCAAGATGGATGGGCTCATGGTGGTCAGTGGGCGCAGACACAATGCCGACGACATCGTGGCCACGGCGCTGGCAGTGGAGCCCATGAAGTTCGTGTACAGGGGAAGGTGAGTGTGCTCTCTGTGGGCCGGACAGTTTCCTGTAGACTATGCTCTTCTATGAGCTTGCATAATTTCCTCAAATTTACAGGACTTCGTTTTCTCTTTTATAAAATGGAGCAACTGCACTCACTGACCTTTGAGGTCCCATCTGGTTCTGAATGTCCACTTTTGTGAAAATTTCTTGAGCCCCATAAATCTATTTTCGTGAACGTTCCCTCTAAGTAAAAATACCCATTTGAAAAACTTAAGTTATTCTTAATAAATAACTACACAAAGAAAGGCACCTACAATTCCCAGCTTGTTTTGCAAGTACCAAAGACAACAGTTGCGTGACAACTGTTGGTTGGTCGTGTGGGAAACTGACTGTCCTGTGGCTTTGCTCTCCCTGTGTGTCTCCTGCCTTGCTTGGCACATAGTAAATATTAAATTAGTGACACAGCACCTGTTTCAGCTCAGCACGCCTACCAGAGTGAGAGCAGCAGACGTGAATGTAACATCGCTAGCTGGGAGTTACCTTTTAATTATGTGCTCCCCGTGATGGGACACAGAGAGGCTGCACTTGTCACCATCGTAAGTTTGCTGTGAGGCCACAAATCCAGCCAAACACTGTTAATTCCCAAGCAGAAAAATTCTACTGATCAGAAGAATATTACTTCACAGGTGCAAACTCAAGATGTGAATGGTCTGGTTTTCTAAATTGCAACAGTTCTGTTAATCACACAAACCCCTTGTGTTATGCTAAGAGGTATGAAACCTGTTGCCCACCTGCAGGCAGCCTAGCAGCCTTCTCTGCTGCTCCCCAAGGGGCACCTGAGTTAACAAGTGTGGGCGTTGGAGACTGCACTGCCTTTGTGAAGTCCTGGTGGGTGTGTAGTCTGCTGAGCTGTGATCATAGTGGCTGGAAAGCTCTTTGTTGCAGAACTGACCCTTCTGCAGCACCGACACATGCTCACCACCTTTCCTCTCTGCCCCCACAGAATAGCTGTGTTTTCGGTGACCGTCCTACACGACGAGAGGATAGTGATTGTGGCTGAGCAGAGGCCGGACTCCACGGAGGAAGACAGCTTCCAGTGGATGAGCAGGGTGCTCCAGGTAGCCCCCTGCCTTCCCATCAGCTGCCCGCCGCCTGCCAGGGCTTGGCCGCCTGCCGACCTGCACTGTGCTTCCTGTCTCCCTTCATTTGGTCAGAAATGGCGTCTCCCTGAGACTCATGCTGGATTCTAGGAAACTAGCTAAAGACACTGAGGTCAGGAGTCAGTGGCTGCAAGCCTGGCTCTCGCTGTTCACTGTGGAGGTAGCAAATGAGTTTTTATGATCTTGAGGTGATAATTTCTTTTCTCAAAATTTCTACTCTGAGTGTTTATGCTGTTCCACAAGTGCAGCATATAACTAGCTGCATATTTTGGCTCCTCACACCAGACCATCCTCTACTGCACATGCTTCTGTGCGTCTGAGATGATATTTTGCACTGAGTATTAGCTAGATGTCTTATAATAACTTTTATTACTCACTTCCCTCTTGTGACTTTTCAGGCAATCGACAGCATACATCAAGTTGGAGTTTACTGCCTGGCCTTGGTTCCAGCAAACACCCTCCCCAAAACCCCACTCGGTGGGATCCATTTATCAGAAACGAAGCAGCTTTTCCTAGAGGGTTCACTTCACCCCTGCAATGTGCTGATGTGCCCCCATACCTGTGTCACGAATCTGCCCAAACCTCGACAGAAGCAACCAGGTATGTCTCTTGGGACTGCAGAGTTTGCAAGGAGTCCCTGGTCTGCTGTGAGCCCCAGGTTGTGGAAACACATAACCAGTTGGCCTTAGAAACAGAGACAGTTCTCAGACCCCTCCTCTGCTGGTCGCCATGGTCACACTCCCAGGAAGTGAACCTGCTTCTCACAAATGCTGTTTCTCTCCCCAAGGGAAGGGTGGATGCAGCAGTTGTCAAAGCGGCTGAATCCACACAGAGCAGGTGTGGGGAACATCTGGGCTGAAAGACTTCAGTTTCCCGAACTCCAGGAAACATGAAATCTAATGCCTATTTTTGGGTTCATCTCACCCCTACATTTTCACTCCTGAGGCCATAAGGAGCTCACATGCACCTCATTAGACACAGGCGAGAGTGCCCTGGTTCTCAGTAAGGACAGATTTTGTAAATGAAAAGCAGCAGGAAGCCTCCTGTCTCCCAGGAACATTAGGGAAAAATAATTCCCACGGCCATGTGGGGTGGATCCAAGCTTCTCACTCAGCGACCAGCAGAAACAAGCGTGTATAAGGAGAGGCTTGGCTCAGTGACAGAGATACCAAAGTGACCTGCTGCGAAACCTAATATCCCCACAAAATGGTACTTTCCCTAGGTGAGTTTGAATTCTTAAAATGATTGTGGCAAAGTCTTCAAAGCAGTGCAGGCTATTTGACAAACCAGCCTCTTAGACAAACCATCCTGCCTGGCCCTAAATCACCAGGAAGACACCCCTCCCCAGACACCAAAGACAGAAGGAAAGGCTGGTGGTGGGTTCACTGCGGCCCCCAACAGGCAGTCTGGTCACAGGCCATGCTCATCATTGTCTTTTTATTTTGTAATTTGTAAAAAGACTGTTCTCTTCCAGTAAGAGCTAAGAAAAGAAATTTGGTTGACCCAAACTACCACACTGGGAATTCAAACATGATTCAGCTGAGTACATGGCACATTCTATGACCATGTTGAAACCTGCCTCAAATCTCTAATCCAAAGACTCTACAAATCTCTAAAACCAAAGACACCAATGATAGAAACCCAGAAGTCTGTGTTTCAGGCTCTCTCCAATATTCAAGCCTGCCTGCAAAACCCTGCCATCTCTCAAAGAGTTGAGATAGGTTGACTGTTCTAAGGCAGACCGCATTCGGGATGACCATGTACCTGTGGGAATGAGCGGCCCTGTCCCACTAGGACAGCCCACCCCCTGCATGTCATTATACTCAGCAGCAGGTGGATTTTAGGGTGGTTGTCATGGTAATGACATACAGCTTAAGGACACCCCAACTTGAACCTTAACACCTTTGACACACAGCTCTTCATGTGCAGTCATACATTTACTCACACAAACATGTGACTTGACCTTCATCAAAAAGTTAATATGCTATGGTGATGGCATACACAGGTAATTTGGTGATAGGAAGCCCACGGGGATTACAGCTGAGATGGAAAAAAGGCACAAAATGGTCTAAAAATAAACTACTATATTACCCAAAAAAATATATGAATTTGACTTTTGTGTTTTATTAAACCAGTGATCAAACACAAACTGGCCCCATCATTTTTGTTACTTTATATTGTGGATCTTTTGGTGAACATGCCTTTAGTCCCTCTTGCACTCCTCCCCTTCACTTGCCCACACACTCACACCCACAATGGCGTAGTCTCCTGGAACTTGCAGTCTTTCTCTATTAAATGTCTTGGTGTAGATGTAAGGCTCAGTGAGAAGAAAGTGTGAATGATGCTTTTCTGAGAAAACTGGAGGGTGTCTAAGGTTTCTTGTAGTTGGAAATGTTGAAAGAGTTTCTGCAGTTCCTTCAGAAACTTCTTTCTTTCATTAAAAAAGAAAAGGGAAATAATTGGAGCCAATCATTTCTGCTTTTTTATTGTGTAATTCTTTAGCTCCAGAAAAGTCTCAGTGATCAAGTGAGTAACAATGGAGTAAAAGGAACTTGCCAGGGACCTTCGATTTATTCTTCCACTTTCTGTGGACCTGGCAGGATGCCTAAAACTTTCCAGTCAGTGCAATCAGAGATAAGCCTTCTGAATCTTACCCCTCTGACAGTATGATTCCCAGACCTATCCCAAGAAGTGTTACTGGGACGTGCAGCCCCTCGCACTTTGGAGGTATGTTAGGATGCAGACGCAATGCTGGGGCCCCCCTTAGCTCATGTCTGGGTTCTCTTTGTCTCCTGCATTGATTTTTATAATCACCAGCATGACTAAATCTCAGCACCCCTCGAACTAGAAAATAAGGGCAGTGGGCTTGGGAGAACATGGGGTGGGGTGATGTGGGATCTGGTGTATGAGAACGTTCTGTGTGCCCTTCTTGAGGGCTTCTTGGTGTTTCCTTTGTCTCCTCTCTGTTGACTTCTTTGAAACCCTATTCTAATAAGATCTGTCAGAGTTTTTCACAGGATTTCCACAGAGTGAGCTCCTCATCACGTGGGGAGTCGGGCTATCAGTCATCTTGCTTATCTCTTCTCATGTGGATGCTGCTTTCTTTTAGAAATCGGTCCCGCCTCTGTGATGGTGGGGAACCTGGTGTCTGGGAAGAGGATTGCACAGGCCAGCGGCAGGGACCTGGGTCAGATAGAAGACAATGACCAGGCCCGCAAGGTGAGAGCCAGAGTACTCCCACTGCCACTGAGAAACTCTGTTACAAAGGTGACAAAATCCTGCCTCCATCTGTGCCAGTCCAGCTCCATCTTGACCTTTGGCCTTTGAGGATGTCTTCTTCTTACCTGCCATCTTGCTCCTGCAAGTACCAGTTACTTTATAAGGAGACTGTATTTATTAGGGGCCCCTTGTTTAGACACTTCACGGTGGCACAGAAATGGGCCAGTGGTCCAGCACATCAGGCTGGCCCAGGTATCTAGGTGTCCCTCTCCTGTGCTTCTGAAGCTCTAGGTCCTCATGCTCTACCAGCTCTTACCTAAAGCCAGACTGCCTCACAACAACCTTGTTGTTGAGCCTCAGTGCTCTGCTTGTTGGAATTTAAGAAAACATCAGTTCAAATCCCAGCTTTGGGAGCTCGAGCACCTGAAGGCAACTTTGGGAGTGGGAGAGAATTCCTTGGCCTCCACCACAGCAGTACCACGTGACCCCTGTATAACTAACATCAGCTTTGAGCCTCCTATAGTTCTCAGAAAGGTGGCTTTACTCTGTGTAAGCCACTAGGAAAGGTGTCAAAGCCAGCCAGTTGGAAGATTGCCAAATTGGTAACAGTAGTATGTCTCTTGAAATCACTTCATCATCCTCATGGTACTTTCCTGTGAGTCAGAGGCATTACAGGTTTGTACATGGGTGTTTCCTATATCCTCACATTAGCCCTGTGTCCTGGATTGAAACAGAGCTGATGTTTTTACTACAGGTTGAGTCAATAGGTACATATAATATTTGATTTTCAGTATAATAAATGGCATCAGAGGATCACCATTCTAAACACAATTTAAGAAAGCCCATTTTTAAAATCAGGATAGATCTGATTTTGCCACAGAAATCATAAGCGCATCTTCTGGAAGCCCCACAAGAAGCCATTATCTGTGTCAGCCATGCAGTCTTTAAGGGAATGGTTTCCCCCATCCTTGGGCAAATTTCAGAAAACATCTCTTACCAAGAATAGAACTCCAATCTTTTGTCCTGTGAATCTAAATCCAATGGAACAAATCTCAAATCCCTTTACAAAAAACACTGCAAGCACTTGCTTACTGTATTTGTGAGGGTGTCCTCATTCCTCAGTGGAGAAGCATCCTAAAATCACTCAGACTCCCCATCCCTGTACTGAGAAGAGCAAACTGGGTTGCTCTGATGCTAATGACTGTGCTTTTGTTCCAGTTCCTGTTCCTGTCGGAAGTCCTCCAGTGGAGAGCCCAGACCACCCCCGACCATGTTCTGTACACGCTGCTCAACTGTAGGGTGAGGCATACAAGTTCACCAATGTGGGTGCTCACCTGTGAGGGCCAGGCTTTCCCACTTCTTTACCATGTTCCTGACACCCTTTCACTTGAGTCTTAATGAATTCCTTTATTTATATGTTGTTCTTTTGACTGAGACATTTTTGCTTAATTGATTATAAATATGAGTTTGTGTATGTGCATATAAATACCTTTAGACACATATATATTTTAGTAGTACCTTGTTGCAGTGTTGGCCAAAAGAATGAATGATGAATGATATCTACAACAGAGAACAATTGGAGATCTGAGATAATTATTTATTTTTATCCCTAAACTTTTCTTTAAGCAAAAAGTTATCTTAGACTTTCATTCTTCAGATGAAAAATTATTCCTTTTTTTTTAGTAGAAGCTTCATGTTTACTTTCTATACTAGAAAAACAAACTCATCAACTATTATTCCATAATAATTGTTAAGAATGAGGCTTTAAATATACAAGCAAATAGTATTAGCAATAAAAACTAAATGTGTCAAAGGTCAGGGGAATATTCTTCTACCCTGAGGCCTTTTGTGTGGCTGGACAAGCAAGCAGATAAATATCAGGTAGGGTAGTAGTAGAAAGGACTGAGTTTAATTCCATATGCATGAAGAACACATGTAGTTGCAAATTATAAAGTGAATAGGAGAAACCAGGGGTTTATGTCCTGTGCTAGAGGACTTGGAGCATCAAGGAGAGTGCAGGGCATTTCACATGACAAGAAGGTGATGATGACATGACAGAGCCCTGCCTCGTATGTTTGCTTGTCATAAGATAGGGTTCTCCAATAAAAAGGTCGTTTCTGAAGATGTCCCTAAATAGATGTAACCTGCATTTTTTTAAATAATGGTAACAGTTTCTCCAAAGAACCCATAGACCTTGATTAATCTTAGGTCTACAAACTGAAATAGCACATATTGGAAAAGTTCTGCGCTCAGTCTTGGGAAAAGCTCATCTGAATATTTTGGGGGACACCAATCCTACAGTTCTCCCAATGGAACATCTCTTTGTCTTTAGAATAATTGAGTACAGTTAAACAAATGTGTCTAATCTCTGTAGGTGTGACTGTAAGTGATCTCCCGAGATAATTCTACGTGTGTACCTAATAACGTGGCATTTTTATGAAAGCAAAAGAGGAATGTTAATTTTTTAAGTATATCAAAAATTTAGTTGGGAGTTCTAAGGACAGCCAGTAGAGATGATTTCTAGGTGTCCGTCCCAAAACATCCTCAGATGACATGAGAGCAGGAAGTTGTCTTTGATATCATCAGGTATACAGATCAACCTTCTGAGTAGAGTAGCAGTCTTAAGAATTATCCATGCAATCATTGTTGTGATTTCTTTGGCACATTTGTAAAGTTCTCCATCTCTATCTTGCAAAGCTTCAGAAAAAGGACATTACTAGTTCTCATAATTCCAAGTCAAAAAGAATGGGAGAAAGAACTGGAAATACTAGCTTGGCAAGTCATAGCCAGATCAAAGAAAATTTCAGGATATAGTCCAGTTTACAAATAAAAGGTCAAAACCTCCAAAATGACAAAGGACTAGAATCTGATGTCCACAAAAATTATACTAATGTAACATAGTTTTCTCTTGACCTTCACCCCAGTTTTACCAAATAATCACAATAAAGTTATTTGTTTGCAGATTAAGTCTAGCTTCAATAAATTTGACCTGTTATTTACGCAAGTACTGTAGGAGTAATAATTTAGTCATAGAATCTCTTTGCTGGACTTTTTCATAAGGAATCTCAAAATGAGCTTTTAAGAGCCTATCCAGACCCAGAAAATATGCCAAGGCCTCAACACATGGAGTACCCACATCTTTGGATTAATCCCTTTCTTCTTGAGATCCCCAAAATATCTGTGCCTGCCAGAAGTGACTTTTCATTACCGTACTGGTAGACTGTCTGGAACCCTGTATGTAGGGTAGCAGGCTGATTTTCGTTGTCTCAATAAGTTCAATCATTTTTTTAAAAAACTGGTCAGATTTCAAATACTACATTTCAACCAAAGATGCATTAATAAAACCAAAGATTAGCATAAAGTTTATGCAAACAGTCATTTGAAACTATGAATACTTAATTTTTTTGCATTCTGATTGATACCAGGAAGAGAAAAAAGCATCTGTTTCAGTTCTGCTCACAAAAGGTGTACTTTGCAAAATTACTTCAGGTCAAAGTCAGCTTTTAAACAAAGGGGGGAAAGCTTTTCTTCAATTTGGAAAAAAGCAAGACAAAAAGAACCAGTGTGTTTCAAACAAAAAGCCATTTAAAGTAGTTCTCATTCTCATTAGTGCATTCAATCCCCTTTAGTTAATTTTTTGATCTTTGTTGCTACTTTTGAGCCAGTTTTTGCCCATACGCTCTGAAATTTCTTACCCAGTTCAGTTTCATGATAAACCTATATTCCAGAGTTTATATCAAAGTCCTTTCCTATACATCATTATGAAGACAAAAGTTCAGAGTGAATATAGCTTCTATAAATCACAAAAGAATTTTGATTATAAAGCAATTTATAAGAAAATTTGCACAATTTTGTAGCATACTATAGTTCAGAATAATAACCAGAATGACAAATAATATGATACGAGAACATACCAGATTTTTAGGAATTTCATGTAACATTGGAATGCCCCTATTAAGTCCGCATAAATATATCTATGACGGTTAATATTATACCTTATTTGATGAAATTTCAACATACCAAATAGTCTGATTTGCTTTAACATCTCTCAAAAAGGGAGAGAATTTTTATAAGATTAAAAGACTTTTATATTCGAATTCTGGTTTCTTTGGGAGGGGAGGAATTTTGTCAAAAAGTATCAAATGTTTAAAACACTTAACATGGGGTATTAAGAAACAATATTTAAGTTACCTATCTAACCAAAGTGACTCTGAAAGATTTCAAAGGCAAATACAGAAATTTTACATGATTCTGAAGCCCGTTCAGTTCTTAATATAGACAAGTCTAGGTTTCTCTTAGTTAATCAGAGGGAGGACCTAATGTAAAGATAACTCATTTGAAGCATTAGATCTTCAGATTACATTAACTGTAACAATCTCTTATTAAAAACTAACCACAGTTTAGGAAACTTTTGTCCTTTTCACAGATGAAAGAAGTTAAAATTTGTCTTATTTAAATGCACTTCTTATATTAAACCTTAATTTTAAGTCCTCACAACAATTCTTTTGTTCTTATCCAACTCGATATAGTTTCTTTCCCAAAGAAGATTCCTTTCTCACAAAGCTTCTCTATATTATTTTCACATTTTGTCTTACATACTTTCTTCATCGCATTCAAAATTTAAACTTTATCCTAAGATGGACTTCTTTTTTTTCCTCAACAAATAAATCCCCTTCCTTAATCCTTCTTTATTTTTCAGAACATAAATATATCTTACTTTCTTTACACAGACAGCAGTTTCCCTTATTTCTGTTCACTTTAAACTTATAAATTCAACCCTTAAAACCTTAATTTCCAGTTGTAAGCAGTTGTAAAAATGGTTAGCTCAATGTCTGACCTTGGATTGGAAGACTTACAAATATTAATTTTCCAGAACGTGTGCTTCTTTTTAGTGCAGCTTTCTAGGTGACACATGGCATGTGTTAGTCCCACAACTCATTGGCCTGCTCTAAGACGCTGAAATTGGTTCTGAACTCAATAATTAATACTTTATTGGCATGACCTAGATAGTCAAAGAATTTTCACTATTTAACTTAGCTTTAAAGTCTCAGGTTACTGAAATATCTTAAGACTAATAAAGCTAGAAGTTCCTGTCTACTTTATTTAAACCATTTAATTTTCAAGTAGGCTTACCTAATCAGAAAACTTCAGATTGAGATTCCTAGGATAAAGGCACATTCAATGACATGGACCTAGCACATTATTTCATCTTAGGCCTTTTTGATACTAGTCACAAAAACTTCGTGAGACCAAGTCACTTATTTTTCCTGTTAGATAACATGAACAAAGTCTGATTAATAAACCCAGGTAGAATAAAAGAATTGCATCCAATATTGTAATTCTAAAGACAATGGATGTTTCATATTAAACCCAAATCACATGATATTGAAAAACATTTGTGTTAGTTTCTGATATTTTTCTGAGTTTAGAAATGATATATATTAATTTTCATGAGGAAATAAATTTTTTTTGTGATACCATCCAAGGTAAAGCAGTTACATATAGGAGAACACACATATACCTACTTTCACACATACTGTGAGACTCAAATCAACATTCAAACATTTTTTTCCTCCTGTTTCTTATTTCAACTAGTTAAGAAAAGACTCTGGGGGTGGTGGTATAGCTTTCTAGACTCATTAAGTTTTGTACAGCTTTCTAGACTCATTAGGTTTTGCAAGAAGGCCTGGTCTTAGCTTCAGGGAGAAAGCCAGAATACTTTCCTGTCAGTCTCTGAATATCATTTTCCAATTTGACCAAATCATTAACCACAGAGTTATTATAAGAATTCTTTCAAATACCTTGTCAATTTTTGGTCAGAATGAACAGAAATATTTCTGACAGTGTTAGAAAACCTCAGAGTCATTCCATAGATAACTAAAGAAAGACAAATAATTCCTTAAAGGCTGGCGATGGGTAAGCCCTATCTTTGTTCAGCAATGTTTTGAGGCCAACCCTAGAGCAAAACAGCGAAAGAGTAACAGAAAACATCTATTTCTATGATTTTTTTTCCTTAGAAAAAATGACACTAAAGTCAGTGTTGGGCTGAAGGAAGAGGAGCAGTAAAAGTTAGAATGCAATCTCTTCTTTTCAGCTGTTTTTATTTTTTCAGGATATCAATCAACTTTTCTTTTTAAATATGTATGTTTCATAAAATTAGCACACCAAAATAAAAGACAAGTTTGGGAAACTTGTAAGCGCCCCCCTAGTGACCACTATAATCTTAAAGACATCTTTAGTAATATTGACCCAGTAAGATGAGATTTTGCTAAAGCAGTGCTTTAAGTTTGATTTTGTGCTTCTGTCTAATTAAGACATTTCCTAAGGCTAACCAAGACACTGTATTTCCTTCCTCTTCAATCTTTTCTTCCTTGGATCAGTCATTTGGCAACAAGACACATTTGAATTGAGAGCTCTCTACAATGTTTATTGGTAGCAATATACAATCGAATTAAAGCAATTTAGAAGCTTTCCAATTCAGAGCTACTCGACCAATCAATAGGCATTATTTATAACTTAAGCAAAAATACAGAGAAATTTACTCACAGCATAAGACATGACAAAAGGAAAGTCTCACTACAAATAAACAGCTTTCAGCTAAAGCCTTGAATCTCTTGGAGTCAAAAAACTAAACCCTGGGAGGGATGTGCTGCAGGAGTCAGGGGATTGTGTTGCACAGATCTTTCTTCTGGGTGGCAGGTGCTAATCTAACCTATTTTGTAACCAATTTATGCCTTCATAGGAGACTCCATTTAGGTGGCAAGAGCTCTAACTGCTTTTAAATGCTTGATACATGCCCACCAAACTTGTATCTTTCTGTGGTTTCCTGTATTTCCTTAGAAGGACATTTTTACTTTAGGGCACTACACAGTATGTGGGTGGCAATACTTTGATCCAGACCTCAAGATTGGAAAACATGGCAAATCTGAACCCACATCTCCTACCTGAGAACAAAACAGCACTTTGGCAGCAGAAGAACCTGTTACCTGAACCTCACGTTGGAAATATTTAATAAACTTATACATAGCACGATGAAACATTACCAGATCTCATGTCTCAAAAAGAAAGAATTAGGAAGGAAAGTCCTTCATTGATTATTCAACTAAAACCAATCAACAGTGATTAAAAACCAAATCTCAAGAAGGAACCTAAAGGAAGAAACAGAGGAACCCATTGTCATCTTTAGGAGTGACAGTCAAGGCTCTAGATGGGACAAGACCCAAAAGATCCATCGTAATTATGGATGAAGTCCTTAAACTTCAAGAGTTGCACAAGACTAAGAAACTGTCTTTAATAGTTGCTCTTACTAATCAAGTTTAAGAGAGGGAAGTAAGTTCTCCATTTGGTTTCCATTAGAGTTCTGCACAAGGAGGGATCAGGAGTCTGATGTAATAAAAATCATTACCTTACTAGCCAGCCTTGCCCAAAGTCCTGATCTCATCTTTTGCAGCTATTCAGGGAAAGAAGCAAATCCAGCCTTCTGATAAGGCTGCTGGCTGACTTGCCAAATTACAAAGATGCAAGAGAACATTTGTTTACCTCTCTGAGCTCTTCTGAGGCTGGACAATCAGAAAGATTAGCAAGAGAATAAGAAAAAACGTTAATGACATACCTCTGAAGAAATTACTTGGCTGTAAATCCTAAGTAGATGGGACAAACTGGGGCTTATAGCCTATGCTAAGGAATGGCATAGGGACCTAGGTACCCTGGAGAGCACAGAGGGGAGAGGGTTTCAAATGATAAGCAGGGAAGGACTTCCTATGATAAAGCTCTGCCCCTAGGTGTTTGCTTTGCCTCCAGACAAGTTTCTTTGTTACAAAGGTTGCTTCTGCTGATATCCTAAGTCTAGGTAAACTGTACTCTTTAATAATGATGATAGTTTCTTTGTGGCACATAGGGCCTCAAGTGAACAAGGTGACACATATTGGAAAAGGCCTACCATGGACTTCTTGGAGGAAAT